TCTTATAACACTAGCTCAAAATCCTGTAGCACCAGTTTTTTTTTGGGACCCAGTTCACGAGCCTCGTTTTCGAATACCGCGCTCCAAAATCGAGTGCCGTCACCGTCATTGTGGTCGCCCATCCCTCTATTTTAAATTAAAAATCAATCGTTTCATCCCCGCACCCCCCCTTTAAGTCTGGTGACACCGCCAGCCTAACTTTTTGTGACACTAGTATGAAGGGCCTCGAATAGGTTTATTCAATTTTCTGTACACCACACGATGATACTACGCTAACTTTGACGTTTCGTAATGAAGTTTTAACTTTCTTGGCCTATCACGCTCGCACTGGCAATACCCGAAGAGATAAGACAAAATTGATTTTAATAATTGAATATATATGGATTTTTTTTTTTCGATTCTTACTATATAAAAACTAATGCCATTTATTGAATTTAATCAGTGTCCTGATTTCCTGTGTATTTTTTCTATACTTTGTGAATCTTTTGCCTAACAGTGGAGTGTGCCACCAGCGTCTCCACCAGGCCAATGTAAACACCGAAAGGGGTCAGTACAAATGGTTCAGATCGTCATGGTTTCAAATACTTGCCCCTCTTTAGTATTTTATTTTAATTCTTTCACAAAGCACTATATGCAAGCTGTAAAATTACTGGATACTCTATAAAATACTTTGATAAACAACATATTTTAGGAGATTTCATCTCTTATTTTATTTTATAGTTCCTTCACTTTATTTCTACCACTTATGATACATGTTGATGTTACAGACATACTTATGATTAATTGATTATTGACTGACTGACTGATTTATTGGTTTGACTAATTGACATGTAACACTGCAGGATATAGAGTAGTTAAGGAGTTTATCTCTTTTAGTTCCTTAACAAAGCATTACTATTCTTCATGGTATGTGTTAATATTATAGAAACTCTTTATAATTGTATGATTGACTGATCGGTGCAAAACTGCCACAGAATCCTAATTAAGCTTTTTCTCAGACCATGTGCAATAATATCATACATAAATATTTGATGACTGTTCTCACCATCATCCAAATCTGTCACGCCTGATAGATCTTCTGTTGTCAGATTCTCTTTGACATCATCTGGTGTTTCCTGGAGATCATTCATAACCTGGGTCTCCTCAAGGAATTGTTGCTAAAAATTACAAAACTCAACATAATTATTTATACAACTATTATCGGCACAGCACATCAAAATTTAAATAAAGTTATACAATAAAACTAATAATACTGTAGTATATAAACTATTAAAACTCATTTTGTAGTGACATAAATTGAATTCACCTTTAAATATTTTATTTCTGTTTTTCTCATGACAAAACCAGAAAATAAAAATTAACTTATACTGCCCAGAAAAACAAGTTGATGTCACACTTACTTCAATACTTTGTGGGTGCGATTCAAATTGTTCATAGCATAAATTGTCTTGCCAAAGACCATCCATGTGTTTGTTGATATTATACAGTCTTTCATTTCTAATTACAATTTCAATAGAACATGTTTGTGTGAATTAAATATCATCAAATACATATCAGATGTATAAGTTTGTTAGAATTTATTTCTCAGTTAAATCTACATGTGTGTGTAGTTTCTGTTCTGTATACCTAGCACAGGTCTGAAGTCCCCTGCAAGTCATGGGAGTATCTTGGAAATCAGCACAGTTCCACACAAAAGCATGAGTAACAAACAAATGCATTTCCGACGAATTTAAACGTCCACATGTTTTTACCCTTGGGCCATTATATCTCAAGTTAGCTGGCCATAAGTATCACCATGCACAACGAAATACAAGATCATCATTCTTTATTAAAATGATGTCATAAACCACAGTCAAATATGAGCAACTCAAAGTGATTTTTCACCAGGGGCCAGGGGGAATATTCCCCGTCGAACAGGCGGTTGAAGGACGCTAGCACAATGTCGTCGGATCAAAAGTTTAAAAAAATTTTAATTTTCTAAATAACATTATTATGATTGCCAATCCCAAATACTGTGGTCTAAAAGCACAATTTGGACCATACTAGCCAAAAAAACTCTGTGATTTTTTTTATTCTAGGACCTGCCCCCTCACGCTCCTCCGTCGGGGATGTTGGACCCCTTGTCAGCAAATTTCTTGAGCCACCGCAGTTTGTCACATAAATTTGACAGTGTGGACAGAGCTTTATTAAATACAGGTATCCCATTATGAATGAAAGATGAGGGAAGAACTAAAGAGAAGAAGGTGGCTTGAATAGTTCTTTAAGAACCGATTTATTAATGAGCTGCCAGAGCCAGGGAATTATGGAAGCATTCATGTCCAACAACTTTAAAAATCCTGCTATGTACATAACACAAAGTCATGTTGCCTTTTACAATAAAAAAAATAAATTGTAAAAAAAGGCTGAAATAACTCTTTAAGAACAGACTTATTTATGAGCTGCCAGAGCCAGGGAATTATGGAAGCATTCATGTCCAACAACTTTAAAAATCCTGCTATGTACATAACACAAAGTCATGTTACCTTCTACAATAAAAAAAAATTAAATAGTTTAATTACTTCCCTGGTTACAAAACTTGCCTGAAAATATGTTCCTCTGTTATTTCCTTGCCATCTTGTTGGATGAATGGATCTTGGACAACAATGGCTGCCAAGCATGTTGCAAGACTCTCAATTCTTGGTATTGAATTCCTAATTGTTGGAGCCAATGGAGCCTCTATATACATGTGCTTATCTGGATAAAACAAATTTTTAGTTAATTATTGTTATTAGTAATAGTAAATGGTATTGTTTCATTTATTTTTTTTTTTATACAAATTTGTATTAAAAACAACAATGCTTTAGAAATTTGTTTTCAAATATTTCAATACTGTATCATAAAGTGTGTATTGGATGGAGTTGGGGGTGAAAATGCATAAAGCAAATGAATGATCAACAATTTATTGTTTTCTACCTCCACTATTTCCAATATTAAGTGTTTCCTCTGATGCTGCATGGAGTCTTTGTCGAATGTGCAACAAATCTTCACAACACACTGGAGGTGAATCTGGATTTGAACTAGGAATTACATCATGTAGGTAGGTTTCACAATTATTCGCACCGCCATTATTCCTATAAAACAAAATCAGAAACTTAGTATCATGTATGTATGCATTTTGTGTGACTGAGACAAATTTTCTTACATAATCTTTTGGGGGCTAATATTATTAGCCAATTATATTTTTAAGAGTATATTGGTATTAAGTTAGTATATCAGAAATATAAATATAAACATAACAGAAATAATGTATATATTTTAATGATTCGAAAAAAATAAAGAACTCATTTCAAAATTACACTTGTTGTCATGTGATTGGTCACATGACAAGCATTGTTTATTATGTTTATTAAATGAGGTGTGACAATTATGTTATAATGTGACTTGTAGAAGTCCTCTACAAGTTCCTCTTTTATAATTATGACTTTGTACATTGTGTAATCAGGTGGCGCCAGGAGTTGCTCAACGAAGGGGGCCAATGTCCCTGTCGAGAAAAAATTGAGTGGTTGGGCGTCACTCAAAATGTTTTAAAAGTGGTCCAGGGCCGAAAAATGTGACAATTTAGGGCAGGGATGGGTATAAAAATCGGTTGGAGGGCCAAAGTGATTTTTTGACTTAAAACCAAGGACCGCACCAAAACTTTGATATTTCCAGTGTGCTTCCAAAACCTTCATGCACTGCTTTCACACCACTTTATTCTCTGTTTAAATACTACTTTTTAGATATGGTTGGTGTTGGGCCGTAAAAAACAAGGTGTTTTCTAGCCAAAGATGTTTGGCAGACTGTACATTATAGGGTTTTTAATTTCTTCACGGGCCGCAAAAAAAATTACTGTCGGTTACACTTTGCCCATGTGTGATTTAAGGGTTTCAAAGGCTTATTTAGTTAATTTTATAGATAGGTAGTCTAATTAGTCTACTAATATGTAGAAAATACATATAATTTTTTTTCTCCCCACTAGCACCACCCCTGTGTAATATAAACTATTAATGCAGGCCTTCATGCACATGCTCCTTTGGCAGGGGCGGATTTAGGGGGGGCCGGCCCGGCCCTGGCCCCCCCTTTTGTGAGTTAAGAAAAAGGGAAAAAAATGAAAAAAAAGAGAGAAAAAGAAAAAAATTATAGCCCAGAATGCCTCAAATGTTATGTTCGGGCGTCTAGAACACAAAAAAATCGCGGGGGCATACCCCGGACCCCCTACAACACTGTTGTCTCAATCGGCCCAACTTTCGGTTTCGGCCCCCCCCCTTCCGGCCCCCCCCTTTTGGACATTTCTGGATCCGCCCGTTTGGGTCACTAATTTTCCAACAGATGCCCTTAAAATTGAGAGAGTATTATTTTACTATTTCTACAGACCTTAACATCCCTGTCATAGGTTCAAGAATGTTTGCCTTACTGATGTCTAACAACATAATCTGGTCGGCTAAAGGCAACTCAATCTGATCATGGTCCTTCACAGTAGCTACAGTAAGGCAATAAATAAAATAAATTCATGATTAAAATACATAACCAACAAGAAAACCAGTGTTGATTTGATTGTGACTGAACCAATATTAGCATGTTAATGCTGTCTAATTTTTAGTATTATTATTAGGCGAGAATATTTTTATACCTTGTTTCACAAACTTTTTTTTTTAAGATAGTCAGATTTTATTAGTTGAGTGTACAGTATATTAATGGGATGTTTAAATGCTTACTTTAAATTTTTTAGGAAGGAGGAATTAGGAAGAAATATACAAATCCTGTTTTTGGAGATTCTAAGGCAGGGCTGGGCATAATCTAAATAAAGTAAAACTTTTATTTATTTCTAATACTTCAATTTTTTCATGGCGGTGGGTTTGGCCAAAAATACTTTTTTTTATTTCGAAATAATCATTATTGACGGGCAACAGGTTCGCTAAACAAGGTATAAACTAAATCTTAGTAGTTTGTTTGTGTTTCTTACTATTTGATTCTGATTTATTGTGATTGATCATTTTTGAATAGTAACATGATACCTCTTTGCCAAGGTGTTCTGTATGTGTAATCTTCCAGTGTTCCATTATGTGGGTATGTCTCATTACATTGCAGCTTTGCAGGAAATGTCATCAAACACCGGCTCACGAGAGATCGCCTTAAATTATGAACCTATAAAAATGTGAAATCACATAATAGGGCCTAAAAGCTTCTTATTTAAATCTTATCATCAGAATGTGATCGGTCTCATCAAAATATTGAATATTGCTAGGCCCCTAGCCTATATTAGTCGTTACATAGGAAAATTACTAGGCTAGGCCCTATATATAGTTCAGGTGAGTCGAATGGCCGAGCGGTTAGCAGGGGCGCCGCAAGCTATAGCCATAATATCGGCGCTGGTTCGAACGGCACGCTCGCCTATGGTTCTGGTGGTAGAACAAGTCTTCTCGGATAAGGACTATAAACCGTAGGCCCAGTGTATACAATGGCTCGTGTGCACTATAAAGAACCCTGTACATCCTTCGAGACGAGTAGGGGGATAACCCGGTGTACTGGAACAGACAGCCCTTGTGGTGGACGACGAGAGTTGCTGGTACCGGGTTACCGGGTAGCACAGACACGAAGGGACCCTTAGGGGCGAAGAAAGTCATTGATCGAGTTCCTAGGTAGTCCACATTTCAAGCGCCCTGAGCATCTTACATTAGATGAATTTGTGCGCTATATAAAACTACACTATTACTATTATTACTATAGTCTACTAGAATAGGCCAATTGTTTAGGCAGTCTGTCTGGGCCTATACATAGTGTAAGGTTAGGGGCTGCAGGCCTAGGCCTAGCCTAAGGTCTATGATTAGACCTAGGCCTAGTCTAGGCTATGCCTAGCCTAGACTAGGCCTAGGTTCTGTTTAGGTACTCCAGGCCTTGGCTAGTCTTCCATGGTTCCTATTCTCGCCATTTATAGTAGGCCTAGCATTACCTCAGACAGGTAGTCAAGAGCTAAGTAACGTGGCATTGGTGGTGTGAATTTAAGTCATAAAGTTCGAAAATCTTATCACAACTATCGGCTGCACAGCAATATCGATACTTGTGTGTGAGTACAAAAAAAGTTTCGGTAACAATATTATTCTAGAGGGCGGTAGAAACATTGCGTTGATTGCTAAACGAATGAGTAGTGTTGGTAGGCCTACATTGAATATAATATAAACCATAATGATGGTTATTTTAAGATCTACCCACCTTGACTGTCATTTTAATTGTATATCATAGGCATATAATGTTAAGTAGAAATATAGTCATCAAACATCCCTGTTTGATTTTGAATCCCTAAAAGTGTTATATTTTATATAGGCCTATATCAATTTTTTTTTCAAAAATAGAAGATGATCATCTAAAAATTTGACTACTGCAAGCGTTAAAAAGGAATCGAGATTACCTACAAATTTGAAAGCCCATAACTGTCTATTGCCTTAAGAAACGATGCGTTTAAACAGTCAACACAGTTAAATAGTATACGCTCACATATGAAGTTCATACCACATGTACGTCTAAACAAACTAGATGCAAACTCTACTCAAACATTATCATGAACAGTAAGGGGTGTCGATATTTCGTAACCCGGACTTTTTGTAACGTAACCCAGATTTTTCATAATGCATCGCAAATATTCTCTGCACCTTAGAGATGGTCTTTGTTTTCAGTAAGTTGATTTTTTAAGTTCATCTTTTTTTTTTCAGATTTATATTTTTACTTTAATAATATAGGCCTACATGGGTACATACTGGCAGTATTTAATTTGATCCCAATGATCCCAGGGTACCAAACTGAGTGGCCATTTCAGATGTCAGTGGGTCAAGCATAAGGCCTACATTTTACTCTTAAATTGTTTGTGAATTTTTTTTATTATTTAAAATTTCAATTGAGTCGGTAAATAAACATCAACAATTTACATGTACGGTATCTGCAACACAATGGTTAGATAATATTATAGGCTTACACACTTATGTATAAATATGTAAGTACAAATTAGTTGGTTTCCATGGGGATATTTTAGTTACCCTGAATTCCATTGGAAATGTATTTTTTTTTCTTTAATTTGTACTGCATTACTTTTGTAAGATTTCCTGTTAATGGTCATCTAAGCCACCAGATTGCGTGAGCTACTGGGCCCCAGAGAATATAAAAATATGCAATATCCGCCACTTCATTTAATGAATTTAAAGCGCTGAAAATTCATATATATTTCAATATAGGCCTGTCTACAATTCTACATAATTTATTACATATTCGGATGTCTGCTTTATGACCGTATTTTATAATTGGGGTCATTTTACGTACACAGCGTGGTTTAAAAATTATACATCTTTATTTATAGTTATCAAATAATGCTCTCATTTTGATAACAAATTCGATTCCACTTATTACGTATGCTACCGTAATGAACATCGCAATATTATATGTTCTTTATGAAATCAGATTACTACTGTCAGTACTGTCTACTAGGGCAATATTCCACAACAATTTTTACTTCACAAAATCACTTTGAATGCGCATTGATATGATTAACTTCCGTGTATGCGCAATATTTTCATCAAACAATAAGTGACAGACGTTATGCGCCCATTGTTGTTTTTATAAAGAATGTTCCTTTGCATTATCCTAATTAAATGAATTTTATACCTGTCCTGTTCACAAAATGTTTTTTAAAAATTTAGTTGGATAATCAAAGGTATAATTCTATCAAGATCTCGACATTTATCATATTCTCTTAGGACTATTTTGCTCATTTTTTTCCCCTTCACTGGGTTTTCCCGAGATCGCATCATATATCATTGTATTTGTCATTCTCCATGATATATATGATTGTATTATTTGATTATTACACCTACATTTTGATTACAATTCGACGTGGGATGGTGTAATCATCTCGTCAATCTTCAGAATGAGTGCAACATATTTGTAAGTAAAATATATTATTTAAATTCGACAATGTTCATTTGTACAGGATCGTACATCTGATCGCCGTAGCCCCTTACTTTAGACCTATATGTATGTGTATGATGTATGTATGGGTGTATATGTGTATGTATATATGTATATATATATATATATATATATATATATAGTATATATATATAGTATATATACCAAAATCTAGCCATTTGTTACAATCTTCAGCAAGACAGAGTATATTAGACTAATGTAGGTGAAGATTTGCCACAAAATGTTCAACCTTTCTAATCTATCTAATTTCCAAAGAACGACTACTGTATTTTATATTCATATTTCGCTCAAACACAGCTACATGCTGGAATATGTTTATCTTAATGCCTGAAAGCTAAGGTACAATGTGACATCATGCGTTTCTGTCCATCTGTACGCGTGGCATAAAAAAGAAACACCTGTTATGTAACGATATTAAGTTCAACCCTACATAATAATGACATAGACCCTTAGCAACGTAAATAGTCGCACTACATTTGTATACTTCTTACATGATAAGCTCACTCTCTGTAATTGAACCCGATATGTGCTGGCAGCCTACAATTAGGGCCATAAAAAACTGTTAGTGTAATTTAAAAAAGTACTAATGAAAATGTAAG